CAAGACACAGAATTATACCCATGCTAAAATACAAATTTCAGCTTGTTGTTCTAATCTGTTTCACAATACAAAAATGCAGGAATTTTGCTACCTAGAATTCAAAAATAAGAAAAAAGAAATTAAGTGGGAAAAAACTTCTTCTCCTCCTAATTTTGAGAGGGCTAAACACTGCCACTTGATGGATGTTTCTGCCATTTCTATTGCACAACTAAAAGAACCAAAGAAAAACCAAATACCCAGAAGAAATACTGGGAAGTGCATGCTGCTATTACAACAGAGCAAACTAGAGTGCAGGGTTACCTGTGGTCTTTCACCCCTATGAAAGACATGACCAACTGAGAAGTTGAGTCCCAGGGACCAGGACATCCTTAGAAGCACACCTGAGGAGGAAGTTCATGCTTGGGAACTAAAACCATTAAGACCATTCTTTGCAGTTTAGCAATCTTCAACCCTGAAATGGATTATGTTGCAGATATTCCCCAGATGAGAAGTCCTGAAAGCCAGGACTCCATAGAAGCAGGCTGAATGAGTTAGAACGGAAGCAGCCAAGCCACTCTAACAAGGTACTGCGTGATAACAGAAGCCCTTTAAAAAAATAAATTAATGAAATATAACTCATTCAAACAAATCACAGTTTACTAGTGAAAATTTATTTGATAGAAAATTGATGACCATTCCTACTGTAATTTTTTTAAAGGTTTTCATTCACAATTGGAAGAAACACTATTTCTTACTTAATTTGTTCCACTTGGTCTTTCAAAATAAGATATAGCAGATCCAGCTAAAACAAAAAGGCTAAAGCAATAAAAATCTAGTCAGATAAAGGGAAAGGAATGAAAAACTCACATTCCATGTCCTCCTTTGGTGTTATGAAACCAAAATCATCAATTTTTTAGACTCTATTAATCTCTTATAGGTTATCTGTAACAGACACAATTCAAGACCTGCAACATCTATTGACTTTAAAGACATTTTGCAAGAAATAAACCTCTAACATTGCTTTGTGTTCTATTTTAAGAGCATATGCAAATTCACTCAGTTCTAAACCTTTTTTCAAAGAAGTCCCATCCTTAAACCCCAGGCTGTCAGATAGACAAAACATCCTATGTGGATAGCAGTCTAATAACAAAATGTTCATTTCTGAAAAGAAGCTGCATGCTTTATTGTAAAAGCAGCTCTTCTTTCTGGAAGGAATATGCATGACCTGATGGCCTACAGATGTGCACTGAAAACTGCCTTTGGCCTCCTTCACAGACTACCAGATGGTCTCACATCATGAGATTCCTCTCCTGTATGACTATTGCAGTCTATATGCTTAGTCACTAGAGCTATAAATAGTCTAATTCTTACTATTTTTTTAACCAGCAACATTCATGAGCCACTTTCACAGGAAGATCGTTCTGAAAGAATTAACAACAGCTTGAACACATGGCTGGTTGAAATAGTAGCTGTTAAAATTTACAAAAATATATCAGGTAGTTTCTGAAAAAAAAAATAAAAAATATTTCTTGGAATTGCTGCCCTGAGCTCCCACAAAGAAGTTTAGCTTTTAGTGGTTGGTGTGGGAGGCAATGGTAGGAAGGAGCTGGTAACAATTACTAGTCAAAGTTTCAGCCCTTTGCCTAGTCTGTCTTCTTCTGGGACTTGCCACATGTATTCTTCACTGCAAAATCTGTTAACAATAATGACACAGTTCTGCAGAAATCACCCTGGTAATCATATCAGATTCCCATGGTTTCTGCTGGGAACAGTTCTTAACACAGCAGAAAGGAGTCTCTCTTAACCCTGTGCTCACTGCATTATTCTCAGCATGTCACCGATGATATCACACTGCGGATACATTGTGCTTTTACCAGAAACCGTAAAGAAACTCAAAAGACTATGAAACAGTCTGGTCTAAAACTAATTGAGGAAATATTTGGAAAAAGACTAATGTTAACTTCTGAAGGATTCTTTTCAGCCTGAAGTGCATGAGTCCTTCCTCTCTTTTCTGAAAAATGGTGAATTTGAAAGGGACCCAAACCTAAATTCCAGTTCCAAATTCTTCACATATTTTGAGGATGTACTCACTGAGGTCTGAATTGTGCAGCTGACCCCACACTAATGACTGAATCAAGCATCTAATTTGCAGGCACCTTAAGGGCATAGGTTATTTGTGCCTTTTTAAAAAATTAACCTATTTGAGTGCCATACATATAATGCACCAGGGTGGGGGAGCGGGAAAGCCACTTGTAAATGAAAAAGTTTAACCAATGGTTTGCCTGCAATTAAAAGCAGAAAATTCAAGTCAGTAACATTCCAGTTTTGGTTACCTAAACCTAAAGTTTTTATTATAGAACTAAACATTATTTGGTTTCAGTTTGTTTAAATGAAACCCTCAGTTTTAGGCAAATTCAGGCATCTCTTCATTCCTTCCTTTTTAAATAAGAAGAAATATTTTCCTAGGCAGGTAACATAATAAAATATCTGAAGACATTTTGTTAATGTTTAAACATCAGTTTGAATTTTCTGTGTTTTTTTTTTTTTTTTTTTTTTGCTAAGAGATAGTAGTTAAATGATCTTCACAGTGACAGAGAAATAATTCCATTTTTAGAGAACAGTTTCTCTCAAATCCACTTAAGTTTCACACACATTTTAAGAAGTAACTCCTCTCCCTAGGCATTGCAGGCTTGACTCACGTACTATGATGATCAGCGGAAAGCACTCCGTGTGCTCACAGATGTTTTCTGAGACACATGTTGAAACTGGTATGAAATGCCTTATAAGGTGTTGCTGTGGCTTGGCCTTCAGCATATTACTCTGAGATGTTTTTGCATGATTTATATGAAATAAGTGTTAAGTAATCCAAAACCTGCAGATCAACAATGAGGAAAAGACTTGCAGGGATTAAGTGATGTGGGGATTTAAACAGATATACTACAAAAATAGCCATCAATAGTCTCCAGTGACATGCCTTAATATGCTTCCTTATGAGAGATTCTTGAGTCTTCATTATTTCACTTAATGAAAATAATAAAGATTTCAGAGAATAAACAGAGTCACAGGTTCAGCCTAGAGAAGAGGAGACTGACAGGGGATCTCATTGCAGTCTTTAACACCTTTATGAGGGGAAGCAGAGGGGCAGATACTGATCTCTTCACTCTTGTAATGAGTGACAGGACTCAAGGAAATGTTATGAAGTTCCACTTCATATTCTAGTCAGAGTCTACATGATACAAGTAAAAATACCCTTTAAACTGGGGAAACAACCTCTATTTGAAGAAGCACAGATACATAGCTTACAGACTTCAGGTGTATGCATTAGTGATTATGGATACAAGGCAGAAGGTGAAAATAACTACTTTCACAAACCTGTACCTGCTAATGTATTCTATACCAGTTGTGCCTATTTTTCAGTTACCCTCAATGACTTAAGCACTACAGTTTGATCCCTTGTGTTAGAGGCCAACTATGCGCTCCTCTGTTTCTTCAGATGTGCTGTTCTCAGCTGCTCACTCATTTCCTCAGATATAGTGAAATACCCAGGTTGCCCAATAAGTTCCTCTGATATAATGTTATTTTATGGAAGCTTGTAGTCAACCTTTCAGGCTGATTATTTTCCAATTCCTTTCTTTATTGGCAGAGGTGTTACTCATTGCTTCCCACTGCTCTGCTCCAGGGTATTGCCAAGCTAGTTTGTAGTAATGCCATATTTTGGAAGACAGCTGTACAGATCCCAACAGCCTCTTCATCCCATAATGTTTTTGCCAAGAGTGCTTCATTATTCCCATTCTCACCATGCCTGGAAACAGGTGCATGCAAAATCAGACTTCCCCTCTCAACACTGCAATATCTGCTAACCATGCTTATAAACTTCATCCACTACCAGTGCTTCCAGGGCAGTAAACCCTGAAGTCTGTGAGTTCACCTTTCACCTGACAGGAAACCACATGTCTAACCAGCAGTCGAACTATTTTCTTTCTTTAAGTTTTTAGGTTTCTCAGAAACCACAAGGTGTACAGACACCAAATTGTTTCAGTTATCTCATTCTCAGGTGCAATGCCCAGTGTCTCTGAAGAACACCAGTGTACATTATAAGTTTCTATGCAGTCTCTAGGAGAGGCATATTGAATAGTCCTGTGACTGGATGAAGAACAGCTGCCTGTTTGCCTGGGAAAGGGGAGCACTTCATCCTGAGAGTAACTGGACATGATCAGAGTGGAAAAACTCCTAGGGTACAGCCTGAGGCAACCAGAGGGAGACAGTAAGTGAGAAACTGTATAGACTGGGAGTGAGAAGGGGATTCACCTGCTGCAGGAGCAGCTCTAGTGCCAGTGTGAATAGGAGGCAGCTTTGACTGCAATAACATGTGAGGTAGGAGTGGATCTGTTCAAATGGTCCTGTAGACCAGATATCTACAGTGGTTTTACTACAGACACATTCTAGACTAGTCCTGAGACCAAAAAGCCCAACTGTAGTTGGAAGACATGGAGTGTCGTGGAGCAAATCTTGCACTTCAGTTCTATCTGAAAGGAGTCCAGTTTGTGTGCTCTGAGTTAGCGATATATTTGTTTACAAGTCATCTTTTTAGACTCTTATGCCCAGCAAAGCAGTGTTTTCTATTATTACAGATTCACACTTGTATGGTTCATTATTATTATATACAATTCTAACGATCTACAACCCATCTTAAAGGAAAAGGCATATATGGAATGGTAGGGCCTCAGTTCCTCCTCACATCTCTGACACAACTGGATATTGTGTCTTGCTATTTCTATAACCATGTGCTGTAGTTTACTGAAAAGATAAGATTACAGACTGTAACAAAGTAAGTGGATTTGTCTATCACCTGAAGAATAGCCATGTTGTCCTTTCCTTAATGAACCAGTACCCCAGGAATTCTGAACTGCTACATATGTAACAATATTCAAGATCTATTCCTCTGCATTACTAAACTTGCAAACATAAAGAAAGTGCTTTTAGTATTAATAATAAATTCCTGACCTTTTTTGTGTAATTAGCTTCTCACCATTCATTCTGGGATGTGATGAGAAAAGAAGGAAATGAGAAATGGAAATTCCGGCACTGAAAGGCAAGCTCAGAGCAGACTGAGAGGGAACTATCTCTACATCCTGACTATTGAAGGTGTGTATTATAGGAAAGCAGTGTCAAAAATCTTCTCCATGAATTCATATCTGAGGATAAGAGAGTTTTCAGCGTATGTTCTTTTTAACAGTACAAGATGTGAACTTATTTAATTAAAAGAATGCAAATGCATTTTATAAAAATTTTGAAATCAACATGTGTTTATCTGATTCCGTTTTTACAGTGAAACAACTTTGATTCCTTTATTATGACTTTCTTTTTGATCTCAGTCACTTATGAAGGAAAGAGAACAAGCTGTATTGCAGTTTAAAAGCTTTTGTTGTCAGTAATAGAAGACTCCAGCAACTGGAGTATTAACTCCCAAATTTGGTCTCCTGTTAACACTGCATCAGTACTTGAGCCTTGTTGCCCTTGCACAGCCAATTTGATCACACGAATACAAAAGGTGGGATCCGAGAAGATAAGGTTCCTAATCACCTTGTATTTGCATAGACTGGTCTTAAGATATCCCATCTAGGTTGCAGCTCCCTCCTCCTGCCCTGCCAGATTTTATGACTGACCCAAATTCTGAACTCTACAGTTTTTCCAAGCAATGCTGCTGTTCACGTGCTTGTTTCTAGATACACAATCATGACAAACTGTATCTTTCTGAGGTCTATTCAAAGCAGAACTCATAACCTCTATCACAAGGTCTCTGATAATGAACAGCAGCTTGTCATTAAGGTGGACAAAGCAACATGGGAGTGTACTGAGAAGTGGGAGGAGAATTTGAAGCTAAGTATTCTTCTAAACTTTGCGAAAACATTCTTCTCTCTGGTACCTGTACACTACCACATGTCACCTGCCATTCCTTAAGAATGCAAATACACTCACCCATGGCAAGGCATGTCAGGTAAAATTAGATTTCTCAGGATGGCAAATATTTTAGGTAATACAACTGTCAGATATTTTTGACTTTTTTGGGATTTCCTTTTGGCAAAGACTGTACTGATGGGATAGCATATCAGCAAAAGGAATTTCAAATTATCAAATCCCTTTTGGTTTGACTGCACAGTAGGCTGTATATTTTGGCATGAATTTAACAAGTACAGAAATAGAATGCTCTCTCAGCAATTGTATGGCATGCCATACAATATTCAGCAAAACAACACAAAAAGATTGAGAGGATACCTAAACAAACCCATAAGCTAGAATTCTGCAATTTTCCCAAAGGATACAAATGCCTATTTCCCATTAAATTAACAAGTATGGATTTTCCATATCCCACATATAGCTTTGCCCTGTAAATATGTTTTTAGAGTCCCTATAGGAATGGCTTGTGAGATCCCCTGCTCAGTGGTTTCCGCAATACATTTTTTAATTTACTTGTTCTTGAGCAAAGAGTCAATAATTGAGAATGCTACAGACATGAGCTACTTCTGCTAAGGCTATTTTTGGGGTTATACTGTCACAGATGTAAGTAAAGAGAATAAAAGTTTCTGGTTATGCACAAGATAGTAATACTGAGCTTCTACTTTTAGATGTTCATGGGGAAAAAAAGAAAAAGGAAAAAACCCAAATCAAGAAAACAAACAGGAAAAAAAAAACACACCAAAAAGCCCAGTGAGATATACTTCTGACAGAGCAAAAATTTTAAAAATCTGCGCTTATTAAAAACAAAAAAAAAAATCAGGACATGCACCAAGTTTCTATTTCATAAAAAGAATTAAATATTCTTCATACTGCTCTCCTTTAGCAGTTAAATTTTCTTCCATGAAACCTTGTAACACAGTCCTGAAAAATGAATAATGAGTTGTCTAGAAAAATTAATTTTCTGAAAATTTAAAGAACGTCCATTTTATTTTTCTGAGCAGTTCACCCTTCTGGCATAATATTGTGCTGCAGATGGGTCACTTTGTGACCTTTCAGAGTCCTGCAGTTAATTCTGACTTTGTGCTGCTATTTAATAATCTCAACACATGGGAAAATCTTGCTGATAATATATTGATAGTTTGGGGGTTTAGTTATGATTGATTCTTTTTTCTTTTTTCTACTTTGTCATTGCACTTTGGCTACAGGAAGAAGAAATTACTTAGATCTATTTCTGCTTACTCTAATGAAGCACACTTGGTCTTAGCAGAGATATACTAGCACAAATAACAATTAAAGCCAGAATAAGTAATTTTGGCAGAAATTAAGCTATTAAAAGAGTTCCTTGTGAACAGGGCATGTTATGATACATTCACTCTAGAGATTTTTCAAAAACAGAGTTAGACAAAGAATTAATTTGACCAAGAACAAGAAACTTGACCATGCCAAGAGGACTGGCATTTGCTATGTCAATACATACATCAGTCATCAGTATAGGAACAGCAAACAACTTCAAATGCAGCTGGACTTCATAATCCCTTGAAAAATAAACTGATATGAGCTCATCTTTATGGGTAAAGCAAACCATCAGAGGTCAAGGAGCATTCCACAGAATCAGTTATGCAAAAGGAACAAATTGTACCCACCTATGAGCAGGCACAGAAAGACAGACTGGAACATTTCCCAAAGTGTAGGGGAAAACTGAGCAGAGGAAAGATAGCAAAGTATAATCAGGCCTTAACCTCTCCAGGATGGTACAAAGAAAAGATTTCTAATGATTTGTCCTTCCTCTTTGCTTGATGGGATTCAGGCTGCCCAAGACTGAACAAGTTACTGCCATTTAGAGAAGAGTACCAGTAAGCTATGAGGAAAAAGGGGTATGAATAAAGCCTAAACCAATACTATATTTTCAACAGAGAGCTGGGATGCCATAGGGCATTACAATTCTAATTCACTAACTTTTTGAACCTTATTACCTCAGGACTAAGCCTTTCATACTTAGAATCATATAATCATAGAATCAGCCAGGTTGGAAGGGACCTCTAAGATCATCAAGTCCAACCCTTGATCCACTACCGCTGTGGTTACTAGACCATGGCACTAAGTGCCATGTCTTCCTGACTAAAATAAACTATTACTAAATTACATTTCCGAGATTTCAGTATTTATTATGAAGCTTTCATCAACACAAGTTGTTTTTACAATCTGCCTTTCTACAACATTCTGACTAATTTGCCCATAAATTGTGAAACTTTTTTATTTGTATATAGTACCTTTGTCCAAATGACACAGGTTTCATTAGATGCGTAGACAGAATGCAAAGATGCATGATTAGAATTTTTTTTCTTTCATCTGAGATTAAGTTACATGAGAGGTGCCACTAAAGCTGTTTCTGCAAAGGAAACAGCCCAGACCAGTCCTAGAGGTTTTAAACTTCCAGCTTAAAGAAGTGTCTGAGTAATAGCATCTGCCTCATAAAGACATTTTGCCATTGTGAATAATCTCAAGCATTATAAAACCTATAATAATATTTACATCTAATGTTCTGCTTTGCAGTGACTGTTAAAAATTTGCATCTTATTACTGATCTCTAGATTGTCTAGTTTCAATTACCAAGCACTATCTGGCATCATACGTAGGCTTAAGAGAGTCACCTCTTCTGCAGGCAGTTTCTTTTAGGATAGCAGGAGTTGTTTCTTGGTCTCCACATAAACAAGAAAACAGGGAGAATTAATTTATTATTGAACCAAGGAGGGCATGTTTTTCTATTCTGAAATTATTCTGTTATTCTACTAAGTATTTCTGTTACTACATTAAAAAGAAACAGTAAACTCTCCATTTATTGCTTATTGTTTCTAAAAGTGACACTGGATAGTGACGAAAACCAAATGGAATAGTTGAGTAATTAAAGAAAGTAGAACAATTGGAAGAGATCATAATTTTTCTGATTCTGTGAGTCAAATCAGTTCATGTGTCTAGCCAGGAAAGAGACTGAGGGTATTATGAAACACAATGCTATGTTATTTTTCCTTTTACTCTTCAGCTGGAAGGAAGGACTACAATTATTTCTCTTGTAATCACTAGCATTACTTGTGTCTCTAATGCAGTACCAAAACATTTTAAATGTGAGTTGGTGCTACCATGATCTGATCTATGGTGAGTCAACTCTGGGAGCTAAGCTAGTAGAAAACTTATATTATTTTATATTATCAGTTTTCTGGCAGTTTTGCTGTCAAACTGTTATGCAAAATGCTTATGCCAAAACATATAAGGAAATAGGGCTGTAGCAAAACTAAATTACCTTGGCTGAAGTAATTCTGGAGCTGCACTTTCACTGTAGGATTGATCTGATTCTAACATCTGCAAATGAAAGCATCTCTTATGAATCTATTTACTTTGTGCAACAAGAATGCCCTTGCAGCAGATGACAATAATTTATGCCCAGACTTATAGGTTATTTTCAGCAAGACACAGCCAGCAAACAGCTAGAGATGTGCGAGTTAACGCTAAGCTTGCTTCTCAGTGTATATGTAGCAATGATGTTATAGAACTAAAGAAACATAGCATATTAGGAAAGTTCCAAACTTAAGAAAAAAAGCTACGTCAAAATTATTTTTTAATGGCTTCAGGGATGAAGGCAACATTCAACTTTGCAGCGGCAGCAAAGAAGATTCCAAGAATGAATCGGTGAGGGACTAGTCAAGTTTGAACAGTCTTGGTGCAGTACATGGGGTCTTTGGAGCATGCTAGGAGCTGTCAGGGGAGTGACACAAGCTAAGAGAGCTCCACCAGGCTGGAGGTGGAGGTATTGTTCTAGACTCACAATGAACAGCACAACTGTGGACATGGCTGTGGCTCTGTGACTGAACAGGGGCTCTAGGGTTCCCACCTCTACCTTACTGCCTCCCAACATCTTCCTCCTCTCCAGACCACAGTGCAGGACTTTTCCCCAGCCCAGCCTACTATTTTATCACCCACCTTGTCTCCCTGCTGTAGCACATCACCCACTGGTGCCCCAGGCCCTGCTCAGCTCTGCTGCGTTTCCTCCGCTGGCTCCTTCCACCACTGGCAGCATGTGAGACACCATGGGAAGCAAGGATCTCTTTCAACAGTGCTAAAGCTTGTGATTATATTTGAGGTGGCTCTTTATGCAACCAGTGCAACCAGAACAGTGCAAACAGCTCAGAGAG